GTGTAATCATTCGGTTATACCCGCGATCGTACGGTTATTATGGGCAGTTATAATTACCTAATATTAAAAGCGACACAACGACTGACAATCCAAAAAGGTAGGAAATATCACGAAGGATTTAGTGTACTACTGTACTGTAATTATTCTTCATCTTATTACTTATTATCATTACATTTTTGCGTTACGAGGTACGTACGGGGCGGTGACTTGACGAAAGCGCCATAGGAATTTCAATAGTAATTTGTTAATTTCCGAATTTGCTTCCCTAATTATTTTAGAAATAAAGTCTATTTAGGTTTTTTGTAGAGAAAAAAATTACGAATCCGTACATACAATTGTTTCCTATTTTATAAATTCAGAATCAGTAAAAATTTAAAAATCAAAAACCCTCGCGTTTATAAAGTCGGTAATGCCAATGGAATTATGAAATCAAACAAAAACACCTGCACTTGCCATTAGTTATTGTGTTTACGGAAAAATATAAAAAAAGGAATCCCGAAAATTAACAATCTGTTTTTAGTAGCAAAATTCATCTGATCATTTGAAAATCCGTATTTGGTCACTTCTTTTGATGACAAAACAATAAGACAAACCCGATCACCGTAGGTACCATAGTCACTGATTATTAACGAGGTCCTAGTGAGTTTATAATTTTGCGGTGTCTGTCCGTCTGTCCGTCCGTTAGCACGATTTCTCGATAACGAATGGACCGATTACAATGAAATTTTGTAGGTAGATTCTTTATCAAATTTGTAGATCGGAGTTTGTGAATTGGTAATGTAGGTAAAAAAATAAGGAAGTCCCTTTTGATATCACTGTTAGTTATGAACCGAATTGCATGAAATTTAATATGGACATGGCTCTTACATACAATACGCAATTTCAAAAGTTGAGTCTCTTCGATTCAACATTCAAAGTTCCCTTTTCATATCTCGACCATTTATGAAACGAATTGCAAACTTTTTTATTTATGAAGGTATTTATGTATATGGAATTTGATACATATAGGCACTCGGAATAAAAGCAAATCTAACGCCGGTTTCAAAATTCGGTTTTACGCATGCGCAGTGCCAATTCTCTTATTTATCAAAGCATTTAAATGAAGTGTGATACTTGACACTTGGAATAAAAGGAAATGTAGCTCCAACACTTTAAAAATTTGGTTTTGCGCATGCTTATAGTCCTACCCAGGAGCTCGTTTGCTATATGTATTTGTTTACACGTTTATTTAAATAAACAAATTAAAACAACGATGCTTTGTCTTTCACACTGGGCGACTCTCAAAGCGTTCTCAATTTTTTTACAGTAAGTGAACCTCAAAACCTCAATCGACGGAGTGTGGAATTTTTTTTCAGAATCCGAAGAATGTTGTTAAATGGAATAATTTCGAAAATACTACACGAAATGTAAATCTTAAGCGAATGGAAAGCTCTCGGAGAGCTACATTTAAAAAAATTACGGCCAAATCCGATTATAGTTAACAAGAAATCAGATTTTGATTTTGGGCTTGTTTTCGAGACAACCAAAAATGATTTTTTCTATTTCGGTGTCACAATGATGATTTTGTACAACTGTTTTCGGCCGAAAACAGTTGTACAAAGGCAGTGATTATAGTCATTTTTTTTTGGTAACTCATCTCTTAAGTTGGCAGTTACTAGTTAATACAAGTAGGTACTTCGTTGGGTACTTCCATGTTTGAACTTCAAAATGTCAGTCTTACTACGCTGCCAACCTAAAACTTAACGGAATAAAAAGTGTTCCCAACATAAAACATGTTAGTTGTAATGTTCCCTATAGTTTCTGATAATGATTTTTTTAATTAATTTAAAGCACCGAAATAGAAAAAATAGTATGAAAAACGCGTGTTACAATGCTTTATTGTAATACTCCTATCTTGCGGACCCTCGTGGCTACGCTTCGCGTCGCCACTCGTGCCACAAGATAGTCGTATTACAATAGGTCGCATTGTAACACTTGTCTTTCAATATACTATTTTCTATTTCGGTGTCACAATGATGATTTTGTACAACTGTTTTCGGCCGAAAACAGTTGTACAAAGACAGTGATTATAGTCGTTTTTTTTTGGTAACTCATATCTTAAGTTGGCAGTTACTAGTTAGTACAGGTAGGTACTTCGTTGGGCACTTCCATGATTGAACTTCAAAATGTCAGTATTACTACGCTGCCAACCTAAAACTTAACGGCATAAAAAGTGTTCCCAACATAAAACATGTTAGTTCTAATGTTCCCTATAATTTCTGATAATGATTTTTTTAAATTAAATTAAAGCACCGAAATAGAAAAAATAGTATGAAAAACGCGTGTTACAATGCTTTATTGTAATACTTCTATCTTGCGGACACTCGTGGCTACGCTTCGCGTCGCCACTCGTGCCACAAGATAGTCGTATTACAATAGGTCGCATTGTAACACTTGTCTTTCAATATACTATTTTCTATTTCGGTGTTACAATGATGATTTTGTACAACTGTTTTCGGCCGAAAACAGTTGCACAAAGACAGTGATTATAGTCGTTTTTTTTTGGTAACTCATCTCTTAAGTTGGCAGTTACTAGTTAGTACAAGTAGGTACTTCGTTGGGTACTTCCATGTTTGAACTTCAAAATGTCAGTCTTACTACGCTGCCAACCTAAAACTTAACGGCATAAAAAGTGTTCCCAACATAAAACATGTTAGTTCTAATGTTCCCTATAGTTTCTGATAATGATTTTTTTAATTAAATTAAAGCACCGAAATAGAAAAAATAGTATGAAAAACGCGTGTTACAATGCTTTATTGTAATACTCCTATCTTGCGGACACTCGTGGCTACGCTTCGCGTCGCCACTCGTGCCACAAGATAGTCGTATTACAATAGGTCGCATTGTAACACTTGTCTTTCAATATACTATTGTAAATCGGGTTGCATCAAGCGATTCTTTAAAGCGTGAACTTTTGTCATTCTTCTATTGGAGCAAAATGTATGATTTGTATTAACGAGAGTGCCAAGGGCCTATTATAGAGTTACCGTTCTTGTTATATTTTTAAAAAATTCCACAGCCTGTCGATTTGCAAGAATCATCGGGACAACTTTTGTAAATGGTTGTTTTAGGGTTCCACCATCTGTAACTTCATTTTAGGCCCGGTTGCATAAAAGTACGGTTGAACCGCCGGTTAGTGAAACTCCGGTTTGGGGTCAACCGTCGGTTGGAATGAAACGCGTTGCATAAACACTAATTCTCTGTCGGTTGAGGAACCAACGGTTGGTTTTAGATTTCTACGGTTGACTACACTGACGATTCGGTACTAGCCAATCCGCTATTTTTTATCATCTCCAGTTTGAGTGGACGTTTTGAAATTTGGCGTACTGGTACTTTGGACATTAAAGTAAGAGCTAAGTTAAGATTAACAAAATTTGAATAAATAAAAAATCATGGCACTTTTTCCTGAGCGCTGTGTAAGTAAAACGGGTTTACTTTAATACGAATTATTATCTTATGTGATTGTAGCTTGATTTGAATTTTTCACAGAGAAAAGTAAATCAGATATTCCCCATACAAATATTGATCTTGGTTTGATGTAAAAGAATTATTTGGGTGATTTCAGCGAAGAAATAATTGTACGATTTTTTTATCTGTGAAAGGCTTTGTTCGTTGATCTGCTCAGGAAGTTCCAGAGCTATAAAGTTTGGATTTTGTGTCAAGTTTCATCTTTTTAAGGTGCAACGTACGGTTTCTTTTCTGAGCGAGTGATGGTTTAAAAAGCGGCAAGCTCAGCAGGCACAAAGAAGGCGTGGGAATGATTAACGATCCTATCTAAAATCTGATTGGCGGGGAAGAGTCTGAATTAACAACTAAAGAATGCAAAGTCCATTTCGTCTAATTTTTGGGAGTGTTTAATTAATCACAATCATGTCTGGAGAAGTTTTTTTTAGAGAAAAATTGGACTTTTAGGATTTCAAGTCAACTTTTGGTCCTTGGGGTGAATTATTATTATTATTCACGATGATCGTTTTAAAATCCCATTTCAAAATGTTAAATCATCTTGGGTAGGAATAGTAATTTCTGATAGTGGTGATAGAGAAGAATAGAGAAGAAACCAGTGCACAATAAAAACGTAGCATCGATCTAACCATACCAAATTAATTAGAAATCTCGTCCCACCACAATTACTGATAATCCGCAGTTGTACAGTTCTGTGCAATTAATAATTATCATTCGTTTCGAATTTCTGTTATTGTTACTTATATGGAAATCTATATTCCCTGGAAAACGTTCAAATCAGTTCTTTAGTACACTTAAAAAGGGGATTGTACAAATTAGATTTTAGATTAAAAGAATTAAGATAGCTTTTCAAGTAGGTATATAGCTGGCAAATTTAAATTCGCTTTTAACCCTTTTTCCAGCGCAAAGAAGTAATTAGGTTTTTCCATTCATGCCATAAATTAAGAGATATCGTTTGCGTGGAGCGAAAAATTGGAATCCGGTACTCTATTTGCATTGGGCGTAACGAGTTAATTATTAATACATGCAAGGTAAAATTATCGCACCCGTCAAATTATAATGGATCCAATGTAATTTTGATGAAGGTATTTACGCTTTAATGCGAAAACAATTAAGCAATGAATTTGTTATGAACCAAATCGTAAATCCATTAAAACCCAGACCATGCTTAAGTGCTATTATTAGTACCTCTTTATGTATTATGGATGAGCCTAAATTTAAACCCATTACACTTAGTTGCAATTTCTACACGCGCAGAAAATCGCGATAGACACCTATATTGTATGGCAGATTCAGTGTCATCATTGATACTATAACTTCGTTATAAAGGTAATCGACTGCTAGAAAGTACTGGTTCCGTTCAATTTATCGCTACTACCATAGAGCTTTACATGCTGACGATGGTGCATTAATTGTAATTTGTACACATGGCACTGTTAACCATTATAACAGCATTTTTAACTTTCAGTAGCAACTCGATTCCCGGACTCGAAACCCGAAATCCAACGTGGTACAGGTATGGAGGTTTTCCACTGTTACATCACCTCCTTATGATCTGAATCAAATTTGGTACGAAGGATTTTTTAAATAAAATTTGCAGGTGTTCATTTGGATAAAATTAAGTAGCCAACCTTTCATAACTGAACTGTTCACAATTTGTGTGGTATGTCATAAAAAAATAATTCATAACTCTTTCCAATTTGCATCTAACCTATTTTATTTAAATTTTTTTGCGCTATTCTTTTTCCACCAAGGAGGTGCAACGAACCTACAAAATAACTACAGTGATCAACCAAAAATAAACAGCGTTGAGTTCTCTACACCAGTTAGTAAGCGAAGCTTCAATCCATCTTCTTGCACAAGTAATACAAGTTTTCGACTAAGGCGGTGAAGGGTAAACAATGAACTTTTAATAGACGTCAATATATTTCTTTGTCATATCGTATTTAAACACAAGCCAAATTTTTGAAAACAGTAACACGGGTTGTTCGAATTGTTTACATTAGATACTGTTTACTTTGAAATAACAAGGAATCGATTGCACAGAAGGTGCGTCCATTACTGTTTTCGTACTAAATTTCACATCATTATTTCGAAAATGAATACGTACAATGTGCAAAAACTACACGTCTACCTAATTAAAATAGGTATTGTCTAACTGATAACGAGGATTCGTTGTGGCAGGCCATCAAATTATTACCGCTGTAAGTGAAACGAGGAAATGTACCGCCGTTCTGATGTATAAATATTTTATCGCCCTTCCATCTGGAAACAACAATACAGATTTTCAGGGAAGGCAAACAGTGCTTTTGAGTTTAATTGATACATGAAATGGGTGTACATCCTTGACTGCGTCTCCTTTTGAGCAATATACGTCAATCACTGCCACATTTAGCATTTTGTGATAAGATAGCGTTTCGCTTTGGCATGTAAAGGAAATTCATTTTAGTTCACCAAACGTTCTCTATCTAGGTAAATAAGAAATAGAGATCCGTGGTGGCGCACGTGTTAGGGAATCGAATTAAATAGTAAAACGTCATCATCTATACGCATATGTTAATTGATTTAAAAGGGGGGACAAGAGCATTCTGCTTGTATCCAATGTATCCTCAACTAGAAGCACACAGAGCACGAACGGAGAATTGCAAGAGATGAGGAATGAAATTTAAAGAGATTTACGAGCCAAAAACAAGTACAGAAAATGGAGCGAGCACCAGGGAAAAACTTTCAACGTTTGGTCGGTCAAAATGGTAAGCTCCATGAATAAAACTAATTTCAAAGTGCAGATTGGAGTGTAGTGGTGAAGGAATTAGTGGCAAACCAAAGACCAAAGAAATGACAAAAAACATGTAGGCTGCTAAGACAAGATTTAAGTAAGAAACGTGACAAGATCGAAGTGGAAAAAGAGGAAACCAAACCTATCACGCCAGTGAAGGACCATAAAGTGAGATGTATAGAGCAGCCAGTTCTAGGAGGTTCGGTCTGCAGTCTGCGGCGCATAGGCACCATACACCCAAAAGAATGCCAATTAATAAAGAAGAGGTTGGAGTTTTAGAAGGAGGTCTACATTATTACCTGTCATGAGTCGTTCTATATTGATCAATGAAAAAAATAATAGCGTTTGGCTCAAAAGATTGCGAAGAGCTCGGCGAAGAGTATCCAAAAACTAATTAGAAAAACGTGAACCAGAGTAGAAATGGATCTATCCAAGTGAGTGAAGGAGATGCAGGAAGTTATGGAAAAGAAAACGATAGACGATGAAGAAAAGCGGATGAAGTTACTGTACGAAGAAGTACAACGGTCGGAGGAATGTAGGGGGAATTATCAAAAAGCAAAACCGTTGAAGATGCTAGTGCTTCATCAGATAATAAAACAACAAATGGTCGAATAATTGAAATGAATTGAAAAAGAACCATAGATTAGTACCGTAATGGGAGCACTTTTAAGGGTTAGAAATTGTTTACTACTTTCATTTCAAGGTACGCGAAAATGTTACAAGGATATTAGAAGGAAGGAATTCGTTGACGTCTATGTCGACGTATTTCACAGGGGAATTCGTGGCTTACCATGGAATAGTAAAAAGGGCATAATTCAAAATTAAGCCAGAGGGGTTACTTTGCAAAACGGCAGAGAGTTAGCTACCGCCAGAACGTGGATTATGCAATCTAATAAAAGAAAGAGTACGGTAGTCTCGAGCGCCACCCAGGAATTTCTTCCTGGATTTCAAACGGTTACCGGAGATAAATCAATCAGTGATACGATCACTCCAGTGATCATACAGGTAAATGGCAGTCGGTCACTGATAAATAGTATAAAACACAACTGAGACAAACGGAAACACTATCAATTTCCCAAAACGAGAACGACACCAAAATAAAATTAATCATCGGTATCTACTGGGAAGCAAAACAAAGGAAAGCGAATAGGTACCCCCATTATAACTAACGGAATGGAAAATGTTACACTTACTTTGAAAATCAAACGCTGCGGTAGATAAAGATTAAATTTGACCTAAAAATGTATACACGATGCAATACGATGTATTATTAAAAGATCTCCTCGAAACCAAGCTCTTACCTTTTCTAAAATTCTCGAAATGTGGAAAGGGAAGGCTGGAAAATCCAGCTCACCCAACAAACTACTATGAAAGCGCTCTAAAATTACAACTTCTTTAGTTAATGCGTGATAAAAAATTAGCGTACATCCAATGGCTAAATACAACCCAATCAGACGCTGTTCGCTGCAACATATCTAATTAGTTACTCATTACCTACACCCGTGCGTAATCAAAAAATTAGAATAGATCATATACGTTTGAAAATGATAATTATCTACAAATGTCAAAACTGTAAACAGACGTCGTTTTGAGTTTCGCCTTATTTTCATTTCGAAATTCACGGAGCTCGTAGAAAAAGTATCGTACGTAATTCGGTTATAATTTACGTTTGATAGATTCGTAACCTGTAATACGCACCATTACAACCTTATGACTATTTTTCTCGTCTTCCAAATGACGAGAGCTTTTTGATGCTGCAAAAATAATTTCAATATCCCCACTGTCCCTATTGTCACCTCCTTGAATATAAATAATTAGGTCTAGAAGTTATGGTTTTTAGCAATGAAGCGCCCGGTTGATTTCATCTCCATACCGTACGTTAATTTATTACAGTACAGGAGCATGATAATAATTCAATTACCTTGTACTTTGTACTTCGGTCTCGGTACTAGAGAGAGGATCACGGGAAACGGCATCAGCAACCTGGCTTTGATTTTGAAGTCATATTGTTGCAGCAAAACACTCCATCTTGCTAATGGTCGGTCGGACACTTGATCAAATGCATCCAACGCAGAGAATGATGATCGAACAGTACAGGGTGGTTCAAATTAGTGGCTCGGTACTGGGATCTCCGCATCGATGAAAGTTGCACCTTTCTGTAACTAAAAAACGCATTTGAAATTTTTGAATAATCTTTTTTTCAGAGAATCTGAATCTGTTTACAGTTTTTCCATATCACGGTAGATGTAGAAGCGGATCCCGGAGTCCGATTTCATGTTCAATTAAATCGGTGCATTCATTGAGATTTTCAAACGTTTGTTAACTCGCTATGGAGACAAGGAATAGATTGCTGAGAAGCATGACTAACACTATGAACAAGGAAATTGCATATTAAAATGCAGGTTGTTTCGGTAAAAAAAACCTATGCCAAGAAGTACTTCGTAACGGAGACTGGGGCCATGATGCACCAGGTGAATTTCAGTTTACAGAATGATGATCGGTGCCATATACGCACAAGTAGCTGCATATTAATAAATTGATGCGAACCGTGATAAACGGACGCGGGTTTGTACTTCGTATTGAAACAGCACAGGGAGAAATCAGCCTTACGGAAGGAACGCTTAGGCTTTGATTACACTCTCGAGACATTTCTCCTCGTCTAACACAACGGGAACAAAATGATGCTCGGTTGGCTGTGACCTCCAATAACCAGTACATCCACACGTCTACAAACTGAAGAATCATCGATATTATAATGTTGGTTTGTTGCAGGCGGTATGAGAGATGCGCTCACATGTACATAGTGGGGTTTCGAGGGGGAAACGATGTGGGTTGCTTAGAGGAACTGCGAGATGGAGTCCAATTGCGGCTATTAGGATTTGGTTGCATAGAAATAGTCTGTAGTGTATTCCAATGCCTTCATTGTTTGGGTGGCGATAGGTTCGGGGCTCTAATGGTCCTATTGGGATGGTGTGCGGATTTGGTCACGATGCGGTTGCTCATAATTACAAAACGGAACGGCGAACTGCGACGGTAGAGCCTGACGGGCTTCTCGGTACAAATTCTGGCAGTTTTAATGGCTTGAATGAACTCAGTTACGGAACGGTCATAGGTATTGGGGTAGCAAGCTATGGTTAACGAATAAAGCTCTTGGTCTTGGTCGGATATACGAATTACGACCATGTCAGCGGATTAAACTTTGTAATTCGGTAATATAATGAATTATTGTGGATTCATTGACCCTTTGGACACGGCGGCTAATCTATGCTGCAAGGTTAATATGATAGTCAAGGGAAAAATAAACGTTTTGCAAATCGGTGACAAAATCCTTTCAAGTCTGCCTTTTTAGGAGCCAAGTCAGTAAACAGCCCTGGTGACACTATAAATCTGACTATATATCCAGCGGTCGTTGAAATGTTTCGGCAGTGGTTGGCCTCTTCAGAGGATGAACGGTGGTGAACCCTTCAAGATCCCTGCTCGGGCGCCAAATTTAGGGCGAAGAACTTGAGTAGTAGTCGTAGTAGTAGGCTTGCTTTAAAGGCCAAGGCCAAAGTTATTAGTAGTAGCCGAATTTTGTCATACACAAGGCGATCATTAATGAATTCGCCGCTTCAATGAATCATGACATTAGTAATCATTTGCCGCAACAAGCGTTATAGAGCCTGGACTGCGCGTGTCAATGATAAGCGCGGATACTGCAGGTGAGAGAGAAGGAAAAACTAAGAGGGCAAGCTGTCTCT